CAATATGAAAAAGTTACATCAAAGGTGGTAATAGTGGTGGAATTTAACTAAAGAATTGTGTTGTAGTCAAATTAGCCAAGATGACAGTTTGGTAAAGACATAGATTTATTCACAAATAATTTTACTCACCATTTCTAACATACTTTTATCATAATTTAGGTGAGATTTACACACTGAAATGCACAAATCCTAATCGTATTCATTCATTATGATAAGTTTCATAAATTGATGCACATCCATGTAATCCCCACATTTATCAACAAGAAGAACATGCCATTATACCAAAAAGTCCCTACTTGTCATTTAGTAAACTCCCTACTACCAGAGGCAGTGGCTGTTTCAGTACATTTCTCACCATCATACTGTTTTGATCTAGAACTTCAAACAAATAATATATAGTATAATTTCTGTTCTGTCCTGCACCTAGCATTGCATATGCTAGATCAGACCTGTCCTAACAAAGTACCAGGGTTTATTATAGTTATTACTAATACTTTTATGGTAGGGTAATCAACTTTTCTTAAATCTAATCATTTTTAATAACATAAATAGAGAAAGAATACCAGTTCCCCCAGATTTAAGAAAAATTCATATTATAGTAAACATACATATACTAAAAAGCATGTAATATATAAAAATATTATAAAAATCATTATGGGGCATATGTCTTTATACACAACACTTGGGTCAAGAAATAGAACTTTCCTATCAAGATGGCTCTTTATATGGGGCGCCTGGGTGGCTTAGTCGGTTAAGCGTCCGACTTTCGCTTTGGTCATGATCTCTCGGTTCGTGGGTTCGAGCCCCGCGTCGGGCTCTGTGCTGACTGCCAGCTCAGAGCCTGGAGCCTGTTTCAGTCTGTGACTCCCTCTTTCTCTGGCCCTCCCCTGCTCGCGCTGTCTCTCTCTCTCTCTCTCTCCTAGAAATAAGTAAAACATTTTAAAAAAATGGCTCTTCATATGTCTTTTCGTGATTACAATTCTCCTTCCACCTTATAGATGGATACTACACTGATATTTCAAGTAACCTTTTCCTCTATTACTTTAAAGTTTTATAACCTAGGTATGCATCCTGAAACAATAGAGTTTAGTTTTAAATGTTTTAAAATTTTATATAAGGAAATCTTACTGTATATGCATTTGTATTCTTTCACTCAATTATGTAAGAATTCTAGTAGGAAGCCTACAAGGTGGCCCAATTATTTCTACCTCTTGGTGTTCAGAGTCTCATGTAATTCCCTCTCTTCGAGTAACTTGCTTCTAAACCACAGGATATGAGAACATCAAGTAATTGAGTTAGAAAAGATTTGTGACTTTCATCTTAATGCCAACTCTTTCTCTTTCTCTCACTCACTGCCTTTGATGAAGACAGGTGCTATGTGGGAGAGATCCTTGGAACAACGAATTGAGCACAGTCTCATTCAACAACCAGTAAGGAAGCGAGGGCCTCCATCTGGTGGCCCTATAGGAACTGAATCCTGCCCGTGACCACATAACTGCGCTTGGAGGTGGATTCTTCCCCAGTCGAGACCTCATATGACAGACCCCAGTGCCAGCCAGCACCTTGAGAGCAGACTTGTGAAACCCTATGAAATGGAGAGTCTGGGTGGGCCATACTTAGATTTTGGATCCACAGAAACAAAGAAAGTAAATGAGTGTCCTGTTAAGCTACTAAATTTTGAGGTAATGTTATGTAACATTAGATAATCAGTACAGGTTTATGTAAAGACCATGGCACACACAGTGAGAAGGAAGGGATCAAAAGATGCAGAGAGGGGCGCCTGGGTGGCTTAGTCGGTTAAGCGTCCGACTTTCGCTTTGGTCATGATCTCGCGGTTCTTGGGTTTTAGCCCTGCGTCGGGCTCTGTGCTGACTGCCAGCTCAGAGCCTGGAGCCTGTTTTTGAGTCTGTGACTCCCTCTCTCTCTGACCCTCCCCTGCTCACGCTGTCTCTCTCTCTCTCCTAGAAGTAAATTAAAAAAAAAAAAAAAAAAAAAGATGCAGAGAAATAGAAATGCTACAATGGATATAGTCATAAGGTCACAAAGCCCAGGCAGCCATTCCCTAGGAGGGACTCTAGGGGCACTCTCTTTACCATGCTGTTAAGGAATCATCAGGTACCACTGTCAGCAGCATCTTTGGGAAAGGAGTGTCTTTCTCTAGTTAGAGGTTGTGGTAGGGAGCACTGTGACCAAACTATGCTCCCTAGGAATAATGGGGATGATTATCTCTGAGTGACCAAGTCATGTGGCGGCATTTAATTGTAAGAAGTAATGTGGATATAATTATATGATGGCCAACAAGGTTGGAATGACAAAGGGGGTCTAATGATAGGTGACCCTCAGGGATCTATCAGTACAAATAATAGAATATGATGTCCCTCATAATAAGATATAGGCAGCCAACTCAGAAATACCTTTATATAGGTGAGTTTGTGTGTGTTGTGTGCATGTGCGTGTGTGTTGTGTGCATGTGCATGTGTGTATGTGATTAAAAGAACATAAGAATAAAGAACAAAGGCTGTGGTCATTGATACAATGGCAAGTCATGATCCCTGACAGTTTGCAGAGCCATGCTATTCGCAGACCTAGAAACCATTAACCTAAAAATGGAGAGGCCAGTCCTCTAGGATGAAGGGCTACACAAGTATATACCATAGAACTTCTTTCATCCTTCTCAAGGAGTCTATGGTCATTGTTTCAGCAGAAGCTGGAATACTCATGTGTTTGCAGGCTGTTGAATGAGATCTGAGTTGAACTCACTGCTGGATACCTACAATCATTCACGGTCCTTATTTGAATTCTTGATCGAAATGTGAGGGTTAAAGGAGAAGTTCCCCACTACCTTCATCCCAGTGATTCAATAGGGGGCATTTGTGCCTCCTTCTACCATAATCGTAGGCTGTGTACATCTAGAGGTCTCAGCTCTAGAACAGGAAAGCTAACTGGAAAGGACATGGTAAAGTTCTGATTGGAATGACATCTCTCCTGCCACCTTATCCCTTTGGGCTTCTAGTGTCAGGAAATCAGCAGGCAATGTTGGGTGCTACGGGGCCAGAAGGATTATGTTTAGCATTAGGGTGATCTAGAGGGGCGTTCGTGGTATTCCTATTCCCGGCATTACCTGCAGTGGGCAAGTAGTTGTAGCCTGAAGAGAACACAGGAACCATGGGCTCAGGACTCTCAGGAATGAAGAGCTTGGTCACTGCCCCAGGGAAGTCACTAAAGAAGCTGAGAAGCTGCCCATTAACTCTCATCTTGTAGGGTTTTTTTTTAGAAATTGTGACAAACTATATGGAATAAGGTTAATGAGAGAACTGCATAGACATGGGCAGAACCAGGGGTAGGTGTACGATATCCCATTCATATATGGCGCTTTGCCATATATGTCCTCATCCACGGTGTAGTGCTAGTATTGACTACGAGTGGTTCACACTGATCACCCACCATATGCAGGTAACTGTCTCAGTCTCGGGGGTGGAAGTCACCTAGAGTTCTTTTCTCTCCATCCTTTCCACCCAGCAGAGGATGTCGAAAGGTAGTGATAAGTGGCATAGGAGTACAAAGGCCCAACCCCTTTGCCTCGAAGACAAGCAGGTGCGAGGCACAGTATGCACCCCTCATCTGTGGGTCAGATATCAGGATGGAGTTGAACTGAAACCACTCTTGTATTAGCTTCTTTTACTGCCCTGTGCTGACACCCTTTCCACTGCATCTCCTGAGAGCACTTCCTTATGCAATAGTTAGGTAGGATCACCCATTTTACGCTCTGGTGTTTTGAATGCAATGTAGGAATCACAGTTTGGCATGGTCCCCCTCAAGCATAACCTCCTTGAGAGAGACATTTCCTAATGTGGTGAGCTGTTTTACTCGTGGGAGTGTGTCACAGGATATATGATCTTTCAATATTGGACAAAAGTAGTCTAAAACTAAGCGTGCACAAAGTGTAAGAAGAAACAGCCTCCTATGATAAGATTTAGTGTTTCAGTGGAGAATGAGCTCGAGAGCTGACCGTGTCACCTTGTGACCATTTGTATCATATGGGAATGTTTGAGGGCACTATTACTGAGACTTGGAATAGTGGTGTTAGGCTGACCTCAGGATCAGACCCCAAAACAGAGGTTTGAGACCAAGTCGTTTATCTGGGAGGTGATCCCAAGCAGTGCTCTAGGGAAACTCAGAAGTGATCCAGGGAAGGGATGGAAGGCAGTCCAGACTGATTTCCAGAGCAGGTGACACCTGTGGGCAGCCAGGTTTGTTCACTGCTATTGAGGCCCCTGGTCTCACACGCCTCACTCGAGGGGAAGGAGGCTAGAGCACTTATCCACCAAGTCCTGCCCATTGGGTGAGCACTTCTCCCAGAGACTTCCTTCCCTACTCTGCCCTTTGAGATATGATCCTTCATGGAGACTAGGACCTCCACAGAGAGGTCTAGGTGCTTGCCGTAAGCCACCATCGTACACTGTTATCATGGGAAGTGCTAAGGGGGTAGAAGTGAAAATCCTGAAATTACCTGCTATGATCCCTCTTTGTGCAGAGAATAGTAGAACTAATAGCTAAAGGTTACCATTCATGAAGGAAAAAATAACAAGACAAGATTACTTATATTTGTATGCCTGGATTTATTAAGATTTATTTGACATATAGAAACATCCCATACAGAAAATCTGGCAGTAACAGATATATCAGTTAGGGTGATATGTTAACACATATCAGAGAAAATGCAACTTTTGTACTGATTTAGGGGAAATAGTAACAAGGAGATGACGGAGGGTTGGGGAGGTCAGAGGGTTATATTCCGAGTCCAACCAGTTGAAAATCAGTGGGAATTGAAGTTGTACAGTTGGCCTCACATGATTCAGCTCCCAGTTGGACTACATGAAGATTGGCTGATGAAAGGCAGCAGGGTGCGGGTCAGGGCACTAGGCAGCAGCAAGAGCCACTAGAGCAGGTGGGGCGGCAGCAGAGCTCTAGCAACAGCTGGGGCGGCAGCAGCTGGACACACAGCAGGTGGGGCGGCAGCAGGTGGTCCTGCAGCAGGTGGTCTGGCAGCAGGTGGGGCGGCAGCAAGGCTGGCAGCAGCTGGAGCCACAGCAGCTGGGGCGGCAGCAGGTGGTCCTGCAGCAGGTGGTCTGGCAGCAGGTGGGGCGGCAGCAAGGCTGGCAGCAGCTGGGGCGGCAGCAGCTAGAGATGCAGCAGGTGGGGCGGCAGCAAGTGGTCCTGCAGCAGGTGGTCTGGCAGCAGGTGGGGCGGCAGCAAGGCTGGCAGCAGCTGGAGCCACAGCAGCTGGGGCGGCAGCAGCTAGAGATGCAGCAGGTGGGGCGGCAGCAGGTGGTCCTGCAGCAGGTGGTTTGGCAGCAGGTGGGGCGGCAGCAAGGCTGGCAGCAGCTGGGGCGGCAGCAGCTAGAGATGCAGCAGGTGGGGCGGCAGCAGGTGGTCCTGCAGCAGGTGGTCTGGCAGCAGGTGGGGCGGCAGCAAGGCTGGCAGCAGCTGGAGCCACAGCAGCTGGGGCGGCAGCAGCTAGAGATGCAGCAGGTGGGGCGGCAGCAAGTGGTCCTGCAGCAGGTGGTCTGGCAGCAGGTGGGGCGGCAGCAAGGCTGGCAGCAGCTGGAGCCACAGCAGCTGGGGAGGCAGCAGGTCTCCTGACCACAGCCCTGGTCAGAGCAGACGGAGCCACAACAGGAGTTGGCCATGGTGTCAGAGGGTGGAGGTTCTGGGTGGGTTTCCAGGAGAGTGAGGGGCTTGAGTTTGGAAGTGTCCTTGTGCCACGGCCTCTTATATACTGCCGGGACAGGGTGATTTGTCCACACGTCTTCCTTGTGTTTGTTTACCTAATATTTAAGTAATTATCAGATTATACAATAATGTTTATCTACATAATGGCTTAAACTTCTGGGAAACAAATCCTCTTTTCTAGATGTGATAAACTATCTGGTCTGCTTGTCCTCCTGACTTACACCCACTGGCATCCTCTGGACCACTCTCTCCTCATCTTCCTCTACAGTGGTCTGTCATGTGATAGGTGGCATTTGCAGTTACATTTCTTTCTGTCTCCTCGTAAATCCCCTAGCAGGATGGGTAAGGCAATCCTATTCTTGATTGTGCCTTTATTCTAATCATCAGCAGGGAGGGAAGGCCATCTGTATTGTGTGGAGGTGGCATGGGACAGGAGAAATAGGTCCTATTTTATGGGTCATTTTTGAGCAATGAGGAAGGGAGCAGCTGCATATGAGCATGTGATGTGCTGACCTCTGCCACTAGATTGGGATTTCTGAATGTTTCTAACTTTGGATCATGTTCTTTACCCCAAAACCACAATTATCCATATGGTTCCCATCACTGCCCTGATTGTAGTTTATTAAGTGTTATCGTTGGCATCATATATTTTTATATTACATTTCTCTGGAAGGTCTTTAGATTCTGGAAGATGTATCCTTTTTAAAATTCTTATCTGTTTCTTAATTAAGAATATTCTTCAATGGAAGAAGAAAATGTTGAATAATCAGAATGTGCCTCCCCTCAGAACTTATCTCCATCGCTGGGATATCCAAACCGCACATTTGTTCGCATCCATTTGAAATGTCAATGGATATTAGTGTATTCAAGTTACATAGTTGCTCTTTATCCTTATTCCCCATATAGGAACAGTCCAATTTGAACATGCAGCAAGTCATCTCAAGAGCTTATAAAATATGGTTGGGATAAATCCCAGGGAGGCCAGAGGTTTGGCATTGCTGACAGGTACCTAGATAATGTTGATGCTGAAGACCCTAGAAGACACCTAGAGCCTACTTCTTTGTCCTGTTCCTTCAGGCTTTGAGGGGGTGCCTCTCTCTAGTTCATGCTTTTTTTTAAAAGCCTACTTGTTGAGTGGATAATCCAAGATACACATGTTACCCATTATTGACATTCTATATACAGTTGGGGATCTCCACACCAGAAATCTACAGGCTACTGAAAATCCCCAGCATGCACATGCATACAGAAAACTGCAATATAGTGTTGAAAGAAACATAAAGGAGTTCACAGTAGTGTAATTTAACTAAAGGAATTGTGTTTGAGGCAAATGAGCCAAGAAAACGGATTGGTAAAAACATAGATTTACTCATAACTAATTTAGTCATTTTTTCTTGTTTACATTTTAAGATTCATTTTACAAGGTAGGAGGAATTTAAACACATTGAAATGAATAAATCCTACGTGTAGTCAGCAAGGGATGAGTTTTGATACGCAGAAGCAGATCCATGTAATCCCCACATCTATCAGTAGAACATTCCCATTATGCTAGAAAATCCCTACTTGTCCCTTACTAAAGTCTGAACAACCATAGAGACAATCACTGTTTTAATAGTGAAGGTCCAGTGCTTTCACTTCTTGGTGTTTGTGGCCTCATGTAATTCCTACCCCTCAAGTAAATTGCTTCTAAACAACCAGATATTTGGCATTGAGTGATTGAGTTACAAAAGAGTATGACTTTCATTTAATGCCAACTCTGTCTCTCTGTCTCTCTGTCGCTGGCTTTAATGAAGCCAGGTGCTATGTTGGAGTGATCCTGCAGCAAAAAACTGAGCACCATCTCCATTTAACAACCAGCAAGGAAGTGAGGGCCTCCTTCCTGTGGCCTGTGAGGAAATGAATCCTGCCAATGACCACATAAGTGCACTTGGAAGTGGATTCTTCCGCAGTCCAGACCTCAGATGAGCCCCCAGTGCCAGCCAGCACCTCTAGTGCAGCCTTGTGAAACCCCATGAAATGGAGAGCCTAGGTGGGCCATACATGGATCTTGATCCACAGTAACAGAAAACAAATGAGTGTCACTCTAAGGGGCTAAATTTTTGAGGAAATGCTACATAACCATAGATAACCAGTACAGATTTATCTAGGACCATGGCACACACAGGTGAGAAGGGAGGGATCGAAAGGTGAAGAGAAATAGAAATGCTACAATGTATATAGTCATAAGGTCACAAAGCCCAAGTAGCCATTCCCTGGGCGGGTCCGGGGCACTCTCTTTACCATGCTATTAAGGAATCATCTGGTACCACTGTCAGCAGCATCTTTGGGAAAGGAGTGTCTATTCTCTAAAGTTAGAGGTTGTGGTAGGGAACACTGTGACCAAACTATGCTCCCTCAGAATAATGGAGATGGCCATACTTCTGAGTGACAGAGTCCATGTGGCACATTTAATTGTAAGAAGTAATGTGGGTATAATTATGTGATGGCCAATAAGGTTGGAATGACAAAGGGGGCAGAATGACATGTGACCCTCAGGGATCTATCAGTATGGATAATAGAGTATGATATCCCTCATAATAGGATGTAGGCACCCAACTCAAATACACCTTTATATAGGTGTGTGTGTTTAATTCAAGGAACAAAAGAATAAAAGACAGACTGAGGTCGTTGTTCCAATTTAAAGTCATGATCCCTGATAGCTTGCAGAGCTGTGCTGTTCACAGACCTAGAAACCATTAACCTAAAAATGAGAGGCCGGTCCTTTTTTTTTTTTTTTTTTTTTTTTTTTGTTAATTTTTTTTTAATGTTTTATTTATTTCTAGGAGAGAGAGAGAGAGAGAGACAATGTGAGCAGGGGAGGGTCAAAGAGAGAGGGAGTCACAGACTCCGAAACAGGCTCCAGGCTCTGAGCTGGCAGGCAGCACAGAGCCCGACGCGGGGCTCGAACCCACGAACCGCGAGATCATGACCTAAGCGAAAGTCGGATGCTTAACCGACTAAGCCACCCAGGCGCCCCTAGAGGCCAGTCCTTTAGGATGAAGGCCTACAAAAGTACATCTCATAGAATTTCTTTCGCCCTCAACTCAAGGAATCTATGTCCATTTTTTAGCAGAAGCTGGAATACTCAAGTGTTTGCAAGCTATTAGACATGGGATCTGAGGTGAACTCACTGCTGAATACCAATGATCCTTTGTGGTCCCTATTTAAAAACTACGATCTAGGGGTACCTGGGTGGCTCAGTCAGTTAAGTGTCCAATTTCGGCTCAGGTCATGATCACACGGTTCGTGGGTTCGATCCCCACATCAGGCTCTGTGCTGACAGTCAGCTCAGAGCCTGGAGCCTGTTTCTCCCTCTCTCTCTGACCCTTCCCTGCTCACGCTGTCTCTCTCTCTCAGAAATACATAAAACATTTTTTAAAACTATGATATAGATGTGAGAGTAAAAGGAGAAATTTCCCTACTATCTTCATCCCAGTGATCCACTGGGGGGAATTTGTACCTCCTTCTACCATAATTGCAGGCTGTGTACATCTAGGGGTCTCAGCTCTAGGACAGGAAAGCTAACTGGAAAGGACATGGTAAAGTTCTGATTGGAATGACATCTCTCCTGCCACCTTATCCCTTTGGGCTTCTAGTGTCAGGAAATCAGCAGGCAATGTTGGGTGCTACGGGGCCAGAAGGATTATGTTTAGCATTAGGGTGATCTAGAGGGGCGTTCGTGGTATTCCTATTCCCGGCATTACCTGCAGTGGGCAAGTAGTTGTAGCCTGAAGAGAACACAGGAACCATGGGCTCAGGACTCTCAGGAATGAAGAGCTTGGTCACTGCCCCAGGGAAGTTGCTAAAGAAGCTGAGAAGCTGCCCATTAACTCTCATCTTGTAGGATTTTTTTAGAAATTGTGACAAACTATATGGAATAAGGCTAATGAGAGAACTGCATAGGCATGGGCAGAACCAGGGGTAGGTGTACGATATCCCATTCATATATGGCGCTTTGCCATATATGTCCTCATCCACGGTGTAGTGCAAGTATTGACTACGAGTGGCTTGCACTGATCACCCACCATATGCAGGTAACTGTCTCCATCTCAGGGGTGGCGGACACCTGGAGTTCTTTTCTCTCCATCCTATCCATCCAGCAAAGGATGTCGCATGGTAGTGATAAGTTATATAAGAGTGCAAGGGCCAACTGCTTTATTATCAAGATGAGTAAGTCTGTGGCACAGTACACACCCCTCATCTGTGGGTCAGAATATCAGGGTGTGGTTGAACTGAAATAACACTTTGTGTTTTACTATCCTATGCTGACTCCCCTTTATATGGATCTCCTGAGAGCACCTCCTCAAACAGTTCTTAGGAAGGAATACAAGTTTTATGTGCTAATGTTTTAAATGCAACCTAAGAATCACAGTTTGGTACAGTTGTCCTCAGGCATGGTCTCCATGAGAGAGACATTTCCTAACGTGATGAGCTGCTTTACTCATGGGAGTACGACCTGTCCCTCAGTTATATGATCTTTTCAAAACTGGACCGAAGGCATCTAACTAAGTGTGCACAAACTGTGAGAAGAAACAGCATCCTATGAAAAGATTTATAGTTCAGTGGAGGAGAACCTTGAGAGCTGACTATGTCACCATTGTGACCATTCATGTCATATGGGTATGTTTGAGGGCACTGTTACTGAGACTTGGAACTCTGGTGTTAGGTTGACCTCAGCGTCAGACCTCAAAACAGAGGTTTGAGGCCAAGTAGTATAGCTGGGAGGTGATCCCAAGTAGTTTTCTAGGGAAACTGAGAAGTGATCCAGGGAAGGGATGGAAGGCAGTCCAGATTGATTTCCAGAGCAGGTGACACCTGTGGGCAGCCGGGTTTGTTCACTGATGCTGAAGCCCTCTGGTCTCACATGGCTCACTTGGGAATGAGGCTAGAACACTTATCCACCAAGACCTACCCATTGGGTGAGCACTTCTCCCAAAGACTTCCTTCCCTACTCTGTCCTGTGAGGTCTGCTCCTTCATGTTCACTGAACCCTCTACAGAGTTCTAGGTGCTTGCAGCAAGCCACCTTCCTGCTCTGTTAGGATGGGAAGCGCTGAGGTGGTAGGAGTGAAAATCCTGAAATCACCTACTATGATCTCCTCGTTGTGCAGAGAATAGTAGAAGAACTGATAGCTAAGAGTGACCATTCATGAAAGAAAAAATAACAAGACACAAGTTCTTATATTTGTATGCCTGGAAAATTAAGATTTATTTGACATATAGAAACATCCGATACAGAAAATCTAGCAGTAACAGATATATCAGTTAGGATGACATGCTAACACATATCAGAGAAAATACAACCTTTGTACTGATTTGGGATGGAAATAGTAACAAGGAGGTGACGGGGGAGTCAGGCGATCGGGGGTGGCAGGTATATTCTGGGACCAACCAGTAGAAAAATCAGTGGGAACTGAGGTTTTAGAGTTGGCCTCACATGATTCAGCTCCCAGTTGGACTACATGAAGGAGATTGGCTGATGAAAGGCAGCAGGGTGCAGGTCAGGGCACTAGGCAGCAGCAAGAGCCACTAGAGCAGGTGGGGTGGCGGCAGGGGGTCTAGCAACAGCTGGGGCGGCAGCAGCTGGACACACAGCAAGTGGGGCGGCAGCAAGTGGTCCTGCAGCAGGTGGTTTGGCAGCAGGTGGGGCGGCAGCAAGGCTGGCAGCAGCTGGAGCCACAGCAGCTGGGGCGGCAGCAGCTAGAGATGCAGCAGGTGGGGCGGCAGCAGGTGGTCCTGCAGCAGGTGGTCTGGCAGCAGGTGGGGCGGCAGCAAGGCTGGCAGCAGCTGGAGCCACAGCAGCTGGGGAGGCAGCAGGTCTCCTGACCACAGCCCTGGTCAGAGCAGACGGAGCCACAACAGGAGTTGACCATGGTGTCAGAGGGTGGAGGTTCTGGGTGGGTTTCCAGGAGAGTGAGGGGCTTGAGTTTGGAAGTGTCCTTGTGCCACGGCCTCTTATATACTGCCGGGACAGGGTGATTTGTCCACACGTCTTCCTTGTGTTTGTTTACCTAATATTTAAGTAATTATCAGATTATACAATAATGTTTATCTACATAATGGCTTAAACTTCTGGGAAACAAGTCATCTTTTCTACCTGTGATAAGCTCTATCTGGTCTGCCTCTCCTCCTGACGTTCACCACTGGCATCATGGACAACTCTCTTTTCATCTTCCTCCACAGTGGTTTCTCATGTGATAGGTTACAGTTGCAATTACATTTCTTTCTGTCCCCTCATACATCACCCAAGAGGAAGCGATTAAGGCAGGCTTATTCTTGTTTGTGCCTTTATTCGAATGATCAGCAGGAGGAAAACCCATCTGCTAGTGTGGAGGTGGCATGGGACAAGAGGAAAAGGTCCTACTTTATGGGTCATTTTTGAGCAATGAGGAAGGGAGCCTCTGCTTATGAGCATGTGATGTGCTGACCTCTGCCACTGGAGTGGGAGTTCTTGGATGTTTCTAACTTCGGATCATGTTCTCTACCCCAAAACCACAGCAGACAATTATCTATGTCATTCCCATCACAGCCCTGATTGTAGTTCATTGAGTGTTATCGTTGGCATCATATATTTTTATATTACATTTCTATGTAAGGCCTTTAGACTCTGGAAGTCATAGCCTTTTTAAAATTCTTATCTCTTTCATAATTAAGAATTTTTTTAATGTTTTATTTATTTCTGAGAGAGAGAGCAGGGGAGGGTCAGAGAGAGAGGGAGACACAGAATCTGAAGCAGTCTCCAGGCTCTGTAGCTGTCAGCACAGGGCCCGACATGGGGCTCGAACCTATGAACCGTGAAATCATGACCTGAGCCGAAGTCAGACGCTTAACCGACTGAGCCACCCAGTCACTCCCATAATTAAGAATATTCTTCAATGGAGGGGAAAAAAATGTTGAATAATCAGAATGTGCCCGTCCCTAGAACTTATCTTCATTGCTGGGAAATCCAAAGCATACATTTGTTTGGATCCATTTGAAATGTCAGCGCATTTTAGTCTATTCAAATTACATAGATATTCTCATACTAATTCTCCTTTTCATAAAGGTCCAACTTAGCAAGTAGCAAGCCATCTGAATGGCTTATAGAATATGGTTGGGACAAATCCCAGAGGTTCTGAAAACAGGGAGGCCTGAAGTTAGGCATTTCTGACAAGTACCCAGACGATGTTGATGCTGAAGGCCTCAGGAGGACACCTAGAGGCCTACTCCTTCGTCTTGTTCCTTCAAGCTTTTAGGAGGTGCCTCTATCTAGTTCCTGCTTTTTTTCTTTTTAATTTTTTAAATGTTTATTTATTTTTGAGAGACAGAGGAACAGAGCATGAGCAAGTGAGGGACAGGGAGAGAGTGAGAGATAGAATCTGAAGCAGGCTCCAGGCTCTGAGCTGTCAGCATAGAACCTAGCGCAGGGCTCAAACCCATGAACATGAGATCATGATCTGAGCTGAAGTCGGACGCTTAATCGACTGAGCCACCCAAGTGCCCCAGTTCCTGCTTGTTTTTAAAGCCTATTTGTTGAGTGGATAATCCAAGATACACACGTTGCCAATTATTGACGTTCTATATACAGTTTAGGATCTCCTCACTGGAAATCTGCAAGCTACTGAGAATCCCCACCATGCACATGCATACAGATAAATGCAATATAGTGTTGAAAGAAACATCAAAGGAGTTCACAGTAATGTAATTTAACTAAAGCAATTGTGTTTGAGGCAAATGAGCCAAGAAAACGGATTGGTAAAAACATAGATTTATTCATAAATAACTAATTTAGTCACTTTTTCTTGTTTACATTTTAGGATTCATTTTACAAGGTAGGAGGAATTTAAACACATTGAAATGAATAAGTCCTATGTGTAGTCATCAAAGGGATGAGTTTTGATACACAGAAGCAGGTCCATGTAATCCCCACATGTATCAGTAGAACGTTCCCATTATGCTAGAAAATCCCTACTTGTCCCTTACTAAAGTCTGAACTATCATAGAGGCAGTCACTGTTTTAAAATACTTTTCACTGTAGATTAGTTTTGATCTGGACCTTTGAAGAGCTGATATATAGGATATGTTTGTAGTAAACATACTATTACTATAGAATATATAATTTCTCTTCTGTTTGGCACCATTAGCATGCCTACGCATATGAGAATCACTAACATTGGCGCATATATTAGTGGTTCATTCTGTGCTGCACTCAAAAAGTACCAAGACTTATCTTAACTGTTTCCAGTGTATGTCATGGTAGGGTACTCAAGCATTCCTTAACCCCATCTTTCATTTTTATTTTTTTTTCCATTTTTAACTTTTTTTTAATAGTTTCTTGTCAAGTTGGTTTCCATATAATACCCAGTGCTCATCCCAACAAGTGCCCTCCTCCATGCCCATCACCCCCCTTCCATCTTTCATTTTTAATCTTAGAGTATGTACTTCAGTTCACCCTAAAATTTAAAAAAAA